CTTGATTGGATCTCACCTGAATTTAGAGACCAAGTCAAGAACAGATTTGGTGCACTGAACATTCTGGCCACAGACCAGACGGGCTGTGGGATGACATCAAGAACATCATACACGGAGAAAGCAAAAGGCCATTACAAACACAGGAGAGGAAGAAACGCTCAAAATGGATGTTAGAAGAGACTGCAACTTGCTCTTGAATGTAGAGTAGCTACAGCAAATAGAAGAAATGATGAAGTAAAAAACCTGAACAAAAGACTTCGAAGGACAGCTTGAAAAGACAAAGCAAAATCTTACAATGAAATGCACAAAGACCTGGAGTTAGAAAAACAGAAGGGAAGAACATGCCTGGCACTTCTCAAGCTGAAAGAACTGAAGAAAAAATTCAGGCCTTGAGTTGCAGTATCAAATAATTCCATAGAAAAGACTGAATGATACAGAAGAAGATGGGAGCACACAGTGACTGCACCAGGAAGCACCGGTCCGCATGTGCCGTTTCAGGAGCTGGCACATGACCAGAAGCCAGTGGTATGAAGGAAGAAGACCAAGCTGCACTAAAGGAGAACAAGGCGGAAAACAAGGTTCCAGAAACTGACAAAATACCAAGTGAGATATTTCACCAAACAGACGCAACACTGGAAGTGCTGCTCGTTTCTCTGTGGCAAAAAATTTGGAAGACAGCTACCTGGCCAACCACCTGGGAGAGATCCTTTTCTGTGCCTATTCCAAAGAAAGGTGATGCAAGTGAATGTGGAAATTATCAAACAGTATCATTCATATTACAAGCAAGTAATTTTTTTTTTTTTTTTTGAAGATAAGTGAAAAACAGTTGCAGTGATACATTGACAGGGAACTGCCAGCAATTCAAGTCAGATTCAGAAGAGGATGTGCAATGAGGAATATTACTGCTGATGTCAGATGGATCTTGGCTGAAAGCAGAAAATACCAGAAGGATGTTTACCTTTGCTTTATTGACTGTGTCATGGTACTCCACTGGGTGGATCATAACAAATTATGGATAACATTGGGAAGAATAGGAATTCCAGAACACTTAACTGCGCTCATGAGGAAACTGTACATACACCAAGAGGCAGCTAGGATAACAAGGGGATGCTGTGTGGTTTAAACTCGGGAAAAGTGCATCAGCGCTGTATCCCATGACCATACTTATTCAATGCATATGCTGAGCACATAATCCAAGAAGCTGGGCTGTATGAAGAACGCCAATCAGGATAGGAGGGAGACGCATTAACAACCTACGTAGACCACACAGCCTTTCTTGCTGGAGGTGAAGAGGACTTGAAGCACATACTGATGAAGATCAAAGACTACAGCCTTCAGCAATGATTGCACCTCAACAAACAGAAAACAAAAATCCTCACAACTGGACGATAAGGAGCAGTATGATAAATGGCGAAAAGGCAAGGATTTCGTTTTAGTTGGTTGCACAATCGGCACCCACGGAAGCAGCAGTCAAGACATCAAACATACTGCACTGAGCAAATCTGCTGCAAAAGACATCTTTAAAGTGTTCAGAAGTAAAGACGTCACTTTACTCGACCCAAGCCGTGGTGTTTTCAGTCACCTCGTATGCATGGAAGAGCTAGACCATGAATAAGGAAGCCCGAAGAAAGTCGATGCACTTGAATTAGTGCTGGTGAAGAAGAGAATGTTCCTGCTAGAAAAAGGAACGAATCTGTCTTGGAGGAAGTGCAGCCAGAATGCACCTTAAAAGCGAGGATGGTGGGACTTCACCTCCTGTACTTTGGACATGTTATCAGGAGGGACCAGTCCCTGGAGAAGGACATCTCACTTGGTAGAGTAGAGGGTCCGTGTAAAAGGGGAAGCCCTCTATGAGATGGGCTGCCACAGTGGCTGAAACAGACTCAAAGCGGTGACCCCATAAGGGCTGCAGTGGGAACCTACTGCATGGCGCCTAGCAGCAGGGATGGAGAGGGAGGGGGAGAGGAGGGGTCTCGGCAGTCAGCCCCCAGCCGCGGTTCAGGGCACCTTGGATTGACCCTCTGGGCCAGGAGGGACACTTCGGTGCCTGCTTCCTCTGCCTTAGCTGAGAGGCCTGCACTGTGAAGGGCCAGAGGGCTGCCCTACCCCAGTGTTGATGTTCCCCCTCGGACGTGGCCCCCGGGGGTCCTTCCCAGCCTCGGACCTCAGCCTGGAAAGGAAGAGTCTCCCCCTCCCTCTGCACCTGGAGGAAGTGAGTGTGGGCCCCCATCTCCGGCAGCTTGGCCTCCTTCCAGGCACACCAGGGACAGATGGTGCCAGCACCTGCATCACCGCCCGACCGTCTGGAGAGCCCAGAGGCCCCGCCAGTGCCTGCTGCAGGAAGGGTGGGCCCAGGGAAGCTGGTCAGAACCCCCCACTGCTCAAAAGAAAGCAACACTGGTCCACAAGGCCTTCCTCCCCACCTCGCCCCTCAGCCTGTCCTCCAGCTCTCTGCTTCACCTGCCATACTGTGAACAGGGCCTGCAGTGGGCATTGAGGGAGGGAGGTGTTCCCTCTCTCTCCAGGAGCAGAAAGGAGACACAATGACAGAAGGGAGGTGAGCAGGAGATTCGGAGAGGACAGGGAAGCTTTTGACTGTTGTGGGGAGCCAGTTCCAGGAGAGGGGCAGAATTGAGCCCGGGCATTGAGGGATGAGTAGGAGTTCTGTGGGCAAGAATGACAAGGGAGGCATTTCTGGCCCCAGGTGTGGGATGTGAGTCAGGTGGCCCAGTCAGGCATGTAAGGTCTGGAAAACAGGCGGGGCATGGTGGATTTGGACTGAGACCTTGAGCTTTGCCCTGAGGCGGTGGGGAGTCCTGGTGGAATCAGGAGGCTTGGCCCAGTGATTGCAGGGCCTGTGACACCCTCTGGCTGGGGACTGTATCTCCTGGTACCAGTCTCTGTGTCTCACGGCCCTGCCACTCCCCCAGCTCACTTTCAGTTCTGGTGCTGAACAGTCTTACTGTTGCCAACCAATTCCCCCTCTTCCTGGACAGAGTAGGGCCCCGTGCAAGGCCCTGGGGGCGAGTACACCCCACACTGTGGTCGGCTGGGGCCCAGGGATGCCCTGACTGTGCAGAGCTCATAAGAGCCACTGCATCGGGCCACCAGGCCTCTTCTGTGCTGCGCCAGAAGGGTGCATCCCAGGTCAGGGCTGCGCTGTCAGCAGGAGATGAGAGCTGAGCCAGGGCCAACCTGTGAGGCGAGCAGAAAGGGATCTGTGTTCCCGGGAGGTCGGGGCTGTCCCCACAGCACCACCCTGCAGAGCCCCGTTGCTGCTCCTGGTCCCGCCATATCCATGTTGGCAGAGAAACCAGACTAGCTGGGTGAGCATCACGGGAGCAGGCCGGCCAGTGCCAGGCTGAGGCTACTCTGCTGCCCGCTGGGCTGCCATCTGCTCGGGCCACCACACTGCTCTGGCTCCCAGCTGGAGAGTTTGCTCTGTGGCTTCCCTGAGCTCATCCCAAGATGGATGTATGTGCACACACACAGAAAGTCATGCATGCACACACAGTCCTTCACACATGTTCAGTCTTAGTATGCACACATATATACATGTATTCAGTATGACACACATGCAGTCTTACAAGCATACAGTCTTACAAGCATACAGTCTTACACAGTCTTACACGTGCATGCAGTTTTACACGTGCATGCAGTCTTACACGTGCATGCAGTCTTATACGCACACACATGCAGTCTTACACAGTCTTACATACATGCAGTGTTACATAGTCTTACACACACATGCAGTCTTCCACATGCACAGTCACACGCACATACCTGCTCAGATACCTGGCCCCTTCTGCCCAGCTGGGCACCACCCCCCTCCCAGGCCTGGCTGGTATCAAGGCTGAGATGGAGGATGGGGGCTACACAGAAATTCCTCTGGGGTTGGGAGGACCTGGCAAAGGCAGGCGGGGCTGTTAGGAGGCGGGGGAGGAGGAAAGAGCCTTAGACTGTGGTCAAACCCAGCTTGGCCGCTTCCTGTACCAGTGGCCTTGAACGGGGAATGATTTCGTCTGTCCGCAGTTGGGCCCTCGTACCCTAGCAACACCGCACTACCGGGGTGACATTTCTTTAAGCCTTCCCTCCCAGAGGCTGCAGCTGGGGAGACCGGGGACCCGCGCTGGCCTGAGGGGCAGCCCGCGGGCGCAGCCCTGGCGTGCAGAGAACCCCACAGCCACAGGCGCGGCGAGCCCTAGGGTGCGGAGACAAGCAGCTGGGGGAGGACCCAGAAAGGCCTCGGCGTGGAGGCGCTCGACCCTGGGACTGACCCCCTCGGCCTCGGACCTCCAGCCCCCGCCAGCAAGCCTAGAGTGCGCCTAGGCCTGAGAAGAGTGAGCCTGCCCCACGCTCCTCGGACCGCCCGAAGCCCGGTAAGCACGCGTGCTGTCACTCACTCCTGGTGCCGCCCCCAGCTGATGTCCCGCCCCCATGTCCCGCCCACCCACGTGCTGCCACTGGGCTCCGGCCCCCGGCCCCGCCCCTCCCGTACGCACAGGTGCTGTCACCCCCCTGCCCCGCCCACATGTCCGAGGGCTCCCAGCCCGGCGCGCACTTGCGCTGTCGCTCACCCCCGGCCTTGCCCCCGGTCCCGCCCCTGTCGTACGCACACGTGCTGTCATTCCCGACCCGGCCCCCAGCTCTGATGCCCAGCTCACGTCCTGTGTGCAGTTCCCCGCCCGGCGCGCACTTGCGCTGTCGCTCATCCCAGGCCCTGCCCCCGGCCCGGGCCCCGGCCCCACCCTCCCGTATACACATGTGCTGTCACTCATTCAAGGCCCCGCCCCATCCCTGATGCCCCGCCCACGTACTGTGTGTGGCTCCCCGCCCGGCGCGCACTTGCGCTGTCGCTCAATCCCGGCCCCGCCCCCGGCCCCGCCCCTCCCGCCCACGTGTTGTCCGAGGGCTCCCAGCCCCGATCGCACTTGCGCTGTCACTCAGCTGGGCCACCGCTCTTTTCGGTCGAGAGCGAGAGGTGTCCGGACGCTCGCCTCATGGACTCCGCGCTGCTTCTCGCCTTGGGGCTCTTAACACAGGTAAGGTCTGGGCGCCCGCGGGAAACCTCCTTTCTCCGGACGCTTCTGCCGTAAAGCGGACCCCTGACCCCAGGGGACGCGGGCCATGGAGCCTCCCAGGGGGCTGCTGGGGTGGCGTAGCGCCGACCAGGGCGTCGTGGAGGGCTGCGTGGGGCTGTCAGGCATCCAGGAGAGTCCCAGACGGAAGAAGGACCGGGATGCTGGTGAGTTTGGTGGAGTCACCCCAGAACTGGGGGGCCACGCTAGACCCAGGGATCCACACGCAGGCAGGAGATCTTTTGGAAATGTGGGGGCAGAGTGCCCCTTCAGCCCGGCGGGGAGAGCAGAGAGTGTGTGAACACAGACTCCACCCACTGGAGGAGCTGGGTGGTTTGCCTGCTGCCCTGGGTCGTCTGTGCTGGTATGGGACCCCTCCTGCTCTCGGGTAATGCCCAGGATACCTCGTCCTTGTGCCCCGAGGTGGGGTGCAGGCAGCAGAGCCTCTGCCCTCTAGGAGCATGCATTCAGGACAAGCTGCTCTTTCCCCAGTGCCTTGTGCCAGGGTGCCCAGGTCCTGGCACTCAGCCCTCCAGCCCCTGCCCCCAGCCCCAGACAGCGGACCGGGCTTTGTGCTGGCCTGGAGCCCAGCCCCCAGTACTGTTGGACTCTGCCACAGCTAGCCTCTGGCCTGTGGGTTGACGAGGTGCACAGGAGAGGAGGCCTCAGGTCCTCCGTCTCCACCAAGGGCACGTCCTAGACAGGACCATGTGGCCTTCTCATGCCTAGGCTGCTGGGCTGAGGACATGGGGTGGAACATGGGGTCTCGGTGGCTCCCTGCTCTCGGGACTCTGTTAAGCCAGGGACTAGGCTGTGTGAGTTCTGAGCTCGACTTAAGTGCCTCCTAGCCCAAGGTCTTCCAGCACCTTCCCTGCCCCTCAGCCCGCTGGCCTGGAGGCCAGGAGGAGGCCATCTTATGCGCTGTAGATTTTACGAGCAGAAAGGTCTCCGGGAGGCTCACAAGTCACTGACTGGTATGTGATCTTGAGGCCGACATGCAGGCAGTGCTGGGCGTTGGTGAGGGGCCCGGCCTCTTGCCCAGTGCCCACCCACCCAGGCTTCTCTAACAGCCTCTAATTGCTGAAGGCGGCCTGGCTCCCACGGCCCCTCTCAGGTGTCAGCCCTGCTGCTGACCGGGTGCCTGGCCAGTTGCCCCTCCACAGCCCGCCCTGTAGGACACCCGCCCTCATGCTCCAGCCGCCTGCACTGCACCCCAAGACCCACGTCCAGAAACCTTCAGGCCTCTAGCATCGCCCCCACCCTGCTCGGGGCAGCACTTCCCTGTGGCCTGGTGGCCCTGTTGTTAAAGCACTCCTGGAGGCCCTGCAGCTGTGGGGCAGGGGTCTGCCTTTCAGCAGGCCCAGGTGGGCTCTGCTGGCGACTGAAAACCTCTCAATGGTTTCTTCCCCTCCCAGGCAGCCAGGGCCTCCCCCTCTCCCCCAGCCCTCCCCCCAAGGATATTACAGAGTGCCCCCTAGGCAGCTGGAGCCAAGCTCCTGGCAGTCAGTGGGGTGGGGGCCAGGGGGAGGGCCTGGCCCCCGAGTCCCTTTGCTGCAGCGTGTCTCAAATTAGCTCCAGTGTGAGGGGCACTTTCCTGCCCTGTTGAAATATGTCGGCCAGGACCTTGACCCCCTCCTCCATCCAGCTCAGCTTTCAGACTTTTGTCATCCCTTGTTCAACTACCCAGGCCCTAGGCTACCTCTTGGACCCCCCTTCCTCCACCTGGAAGGCCCCAGAAATAGGCAGCCTAGGCCACCTGGGAACCGGGCAGGGGACGGGCTCGAAGCAGCTCTGTCACAGTATGGCCCTGAACCGATCGTCCGCTTGCCCAGGCCTCTTCCCTGCTACAGATCTCAGCCCATGAGCCCAGGGGGATGTCAGTGGGACCCCTGTTTACACTCTCTCAGCCTATATGTGGAACCCCACCCCAGCCCAGGGCCTCCCCGAGGAGCTGTGGAAGGGATGAGGGGGGTGCGGATATTCCAACCCAACGGGCCCCTCCTGCACTGGGAAAGGTGGAGCATGTCCCAGTCGGTGATTGGGGAAAGCAGGCCAAGACCCAGAGGACACCCAGTGCCAGGCAGGAGGAACAGGGGGCTGGCAGCAGAGGGCAGAGGACTCCTGGTCCAGAGTTCTCTCCAGGGAACTGGACAGCTACTGGGCTGCCCTGGGGTCTCCAGTCTCTCGCTGTGTAGGCGCCAGGCAGGGTGCCTGCTGGGAGGTGGTCTGTTGCCCTCTCCCACCCCCTTCTGATTCTGAAGCTGCGGCAGCTGGAGGGGTGGGCCATAGGGGGCCGTTTAGAGGTCTCTGCTGGGTCAGGCTGACAGCTGGCCCATTCCTGGCGTGCCTGCTGCTGACCGGGATGTCCAGGAGTCGGGGGCCCCAGATTCCAGCAGAGGGGCTTTCTGCAGTGGCATCTCGGGGCCTCGTCCAGCCGCCGGTGCCCAGCAAAACCCCACTCCCATCCCACCAGGAGCGTTCGGCCCCACCCCTTTCCTAGAATCCTAGAAATCCCAGGCTCAGAAGCCGTGTCAGGGTGGGCCTCCTTCCTTTGACGGTCCACAGCCAACTTGTGTGGGGTGAGCCCAGTGCGTACTGCATTGGACGGCCTGAGCCCACACCCTGCCCGTAACTCAGCCAGGACACCAGTGCCGTGAGGGCCCAGGAGCTGCCACGCGCGGCCCACGTCTTTCCCTTGCCACTCCTCAGCCTGGAGTCCCAAGGGGTTGTTGACTGGAGGAAGTCAGGGCCAGGTGTGAGTGGTGGGCCTGAGGTCACTCAGCAAGTGAGTCTCCTGGCCCTAGACTGGCTTTTTCCAGTCCCCTTACCTGCTCCGGGTCCTGGCTCCCCAAGGAGGCAGCCTAGCCATGCAGCCAGCCTCTCCCCCAGTCTCTGCAGAGGCTGGACCCAGGCTGACAAATCCTTGTTCTGGGACCCACACCAAGTTGATCTGGTGTGTGCTTGTGCAAAGAGGGAGCTCCCCAAAGGCCCCTGAGAGCCGGAAGGCACCAGGCCTTGCCAGCCCCTCCCCTCCCTAGGCTCTGATCTGGCCGGGGGCCTGGCCAAGCCACTGTGGCTTCCAACGACCTCGTGAACTTGGGCCACAGACCGACCAGGTACCCCAGGTTCCCAGGCTCTGCCTTGGCTGCACCCAGCCCTGGGTCGTGCTTAGGGTGGGGGTCGGGGGGGTAGGGGGGCATCAGATGTTATGCAGCTGGCAGGGGAGAGGAGGAACCAGGAGGAAGGGGGCTGGCCAAGGGAGAAAGTCGCAAGTGCTGCCAGTGTGTCGTGGTCTTGCCAGCCACGGGGGGAGCCCAGGAGGACAAGGACCCCAGTCCAGGCACTGCCGTGCTAGGACATCATGCTGCTCTGTGAGATGGGGTCCAGGCCCTGAATGGGACTTCGACTTGGTGCCAAGCAGCCTGTGCCATGTTTTCATGCGTGGCCTGGGCATGTGGCCTGGCCTCCCTGGACCTCACTTGCTGGAGCTGTAAAGTGAGGTGGTTGTCCCTGCCCTGTTTCCAGTGGGGCTAGAGGACCGAGAAGGAGAGAGAGACAGGCAGATGGAGATGTTGTCACAGTGCGGAGTGCAAGGCCCGCCCCAGGAAGTGTTTAAGAGCCCATCCTGTCACCACTGATGGTGACAAAGGGCCCACACCTAGGCAGGCAGGTCCCTGCCTCGGAGACATGTTGCCTGCCTGGCAGAGCTCTAGTTCTGGCCGGAAGCCCTGCCACCGGGGCAGGCTCCAAAGGCCCAGCTGCCATCTGCCGGCCTGGAGCAAGTGTCCAGGCAGGGGAAGCCAGAGGACCACTCGGAGAGGTGGTGGAGGGCCTGGTTCCCGCTGCTGGGAGTGTCGGGGGCCCACTGGGGCAGAGCTGTCTTCAGAAGCTTTTGCTGTCCCTCGTTCCGCCAACGACGTGAAGGTCCTACTCTGTGCCAGGCAGGGTGGTGCAGAGGCGGGGTGCCCTCCCACCCTCCATCCAGCTGAGGGCAGTGACTCAGGCTGGCCAGCGGGCAGACCTTGGGCTGCGAGTAGCTCCCCCGGCCAGCAGCGCTGCCCCACCCCTGGGGACCACCCCCAGGCCCCGAATTGGCTGTGGGCTCTTCCACTGTCACTCCCCAGGGCTGGATGGCACATGCCCCTGACGTGGGCAGTCCTTGAGGGGAAGCCCATCCCAGGACTCCCTCTGTCCCTTACCCACACTCTTCAACCACAGATTCTGGTGGGGGAGGGCTTCTGCAGCTCCAGGGCCCGAGTCCCCGAGCCCAGCTGTTGCCCCCAACAGCTGCAATTACTATCATTCTGTCCTCCCCCCCCACACACACACAGCACTCTGCGCCCACGGAGCCTCCTCCCTCCCACTTCTGGAGCCAGCCGGCCGGCAGGGCAGAGCCTCCTCAGCCCTCTGGGGCCCCCATGGGATCCAGGACTTGGGCAGAGGCAGCCTAACACTGTGGTTCTGCCGAGAAGGCTGTGGAATCATAGTCCCACTTCCCATCAGCTGCCTGACAGTCCTCGGGCTGAGAACCACACAGTGATAAGTCCTGGGCTCTGGACTCCTGGCGAGGGGTGGGACAGCCCCATCAGGGAGTAGCCCACACAGGCTCGGAGAGGTGGGCCTGCCTGGTCTGGACTCAGGAGGCAGTACAGCCCGTGGTTAGCTTGCCTCTCCCTACCCTGCGGCCAGATGTCTCACCTCCTCTGGGCTCCTGGCTGGAGCCGTCAGCCAGCCTGGCCAGGCAGTGCCAGGAGCTGCCATGGGACCACTGCCTGTTTCTGCTGCAGGGCCTCGGCCTGTCTGCGGAGGTCCCCGAGTCGCCCAGCACCCTGTTCCCCTGGCGCCGGATGTCTGGGCGGAGCCGTGTACGTAGAGCCTGGGTCATTCCCCCCATCAGTGTGTCGGAGAACCACAAGCGAATACCTTTCCCTCTGGTGCAGGTGAGGTGGGAGGTGGGCGGGCAGTCCCCGGTTTGCCGGAGGCTGCACGCTGAGGTCCCCCACACCCATGGCTGTCTGAGAGCCCCAGGTCCCCCTGCCTCCTGTCAGAGCTGGGCCAGAGAGCGGGGCTGACTGCATGAAGCCCCCCACCAGGGCTCTGGTCTGGGTCTGGGCCCCAGAAGGGGCCGAGACCTTTCCTTGGGGGCCCACACCCTGGGTGAGTGGTACCAGGTGCCCTGAGAATGTGTCCCCAAGTGGTCACTCCCCAGACGATACACTTTCTGAGGAAACATGTACTCTGGTGGACATGCCCCTATGGGCAAGATTTTCATCTGTCTGTTAACCGGACACTGATCCATTAACTGAACCTGTAATGTGTGTGCCTCCACCTTCAAGCACACATCTGAAACCTGTCCCTGGAGACCAGGTCCAGGGACCCCAGGCATGGTCCCCTGAGAGAAAGGCCTTAGGACAGGATACCCATGGGGCACAGCTTCCATGGGCCTCTGGGGCACCCCCAGTCCCAGCCCCAGGCCCGGGGGACTCTTGCACCTTCACTGCTCCCTGATGGCAGAGGGGCCTGCGGGCTGCACGCGTGCCCCGATGTCTGGACCTGCCCCCTAGATCAAGTCAGACAAGCAGCCCCTGGGCGGCGTCATCTATAGCATCCAGGGCCCGGGTGTGGACGAGGAGCCCCGGGGCATCTTCTCCATCGACAAGTTCACGGGGAAGGTGTTCCTCAATGCCATGCTGGACCGGGAGAAGACTGACCGCTTCAAGGTGGGCTCCAGCCCTGGGGTCCCACCTCTGCTGCCTCCCGGTGTCTTCACTGCTTCATGGGGGGAGGGACGGGGAGCAGGTGTTCTAGACCACTGTCCCCATTGGACAGGTGAGAAAACAGGCACCAGGGAGGACTGGTTCTGGGCAGGATGCCCGCCTCAGATCACAGGGTGTGTCCCAAGCAGCCCAAGCCTTCCCAGGGAGTCCTCTTAACCTACAGCCAGCCCCCCATTAATGCTGGTTATGTTCAGCGGGAAGGGGGCTGCCATGAACAGTCCTGAACGTTATTGAATCAGAGTGGCACTGCCCTCATCCTCACCATGGGGGCCCTGGGGAGGACCACTGCCCCAGGGGGCTCAGGGTATGGGGTCCGAGTGAAGAGTGGTGGGGTGGGGCATTGGCAGCCACACTGCAAGTGGGTGTGCAGCCCTGGGGGTGAGACCTCGTGGAGCCTACACTGCGTCCATGAGCAGAGACCCTCTGTTACAGCCTAGGCCTGTACCACGTCATTCTGTGTCTGGCCTGGGACAGGAGGCTTCCCACCCTGGCTTTTCCAGGAGGTGAACCTATGTGGATCCTCAGGCTTCCCCAAACCTGAAGACCAAGCTAGCGGAGTCTTTCCACTGAAAGCTGTGATAGTATCTTTTTCAGTGGGATGTGAGGCCACACCCAGCCTCCATTAAGGCAGGAGACAGGCTTGTTGAAAATCCCTCGTGTGCGGGGGCATGAAACCACGTAGAGGAAGAGAGAGAGAGGAAGCCTGGTGGGAGCTTCCCTGCAGTGCAGCCATAGTTGGCGTGAGCTCCCTGGAAGCCAAGGGGAGAGGGGCAGCTCGCTGGCCACATGGCCTGCTAAGAGAAGGCAGGCTCTTAGAGGAAGCTCTCAGGTGCCCCAGGGCCCGTTCTCACCCATCTAGGTGGGTGGTTGTGAGCTGAGGCCACGCCCCCTTTCATGCCCTTGGGAGAGCCCTGGACACGGGGACTACAGTGCCAGCCCTCGCTCTCTGCCTGGCAGCTAAGGGCCTTTGCCCTGGACCTGGGCGGATCTACCCTGGAGGACCCCACGGACCTGGAGATCGTGGTTGTGGATCAGAACGACAACCGGCCAGTCTTCCAGCAGGAGGTGTTCACTGGCCACGTGCTGGAGGGCGCAGCCCCAGGTGAGGTGGAGGGCAGAGGTCAGTGGGGGCCCTGGGCAGGTCGGGAGCCCAGAAATTCCCTTAAGCAAGAACTTTGGAGGTCCTTCCAAAGGTCTACGTGTAAGAGTCTTGCCAAGCCGTTGCCCACTACATCGTGAATTTCAAGCCTGGAAACTTCCAGAATACAAAGAGAGGCGTCATGGCAAAACGCTGTTTTTTTTTTTTCTTTTTCTTAATTGAAATAACATTCAGGTGACAAAAGTAACCATTTTTAAGTGCCCAGTGTGGTAGCAGGAGCTCTGGTGGTGTAGTGCCTAAGGCATCTGACTGCTAACCAGAAGGCTGGCTGTTCAAACCCACCAGCCACTCCTCGGAAGGAAAGTTGGGCAATGTACTTCCATAGAGATACTGCCTTAGAAACCCAAGGAGGGGTCGCTCTGAGTCAGATCCAACTCGACGGCAGTAGTGTATAGCCACCGTGTTTAGTCGTACACTCCCCTCACCCCAAAATAAAGCCCCATGCTCCCTCTGGTTGCGTCTTGAGTCCACATTTTGACAGCCGACGGGCCCCCCTCTGTTCTTCGTAAACCTGTGTAGGCAGGGAGCCAGCGCACACCAGCTCCCAGCTGTCCCAGCATGCTGCAATAGGATTTGGTGGCCTGGTTCTGTTCCCCGGGCAGGGCAGACCTCACTGCCAGGCAGTAATCACCCTCTTTTGCCCCCACTCTCCACTCAGCGGCTCTCATTCCTGGAAAACCCCGTGCTTCCGCAGGTCAGAAAAACCAAAAACCAAACCCATTGCCGTGGAGTCGATTCCGACTCACAGCGCTCCTAGAGGACAGAGTGGAACTGCCACAGAGTGTTTCCAAGGCTGCCCGTCTTTATGGAAGCCGACTGACTGCCCCATCTTTCTGCTGTGGAGTGGCAAGTGGGTTTGAACCACCGGCCTCTTGATTGGCAGCCCTGTGCTTTAAGCACTGCACCACCAGAGCTGCTGCAGTCAGAGAGCACTGGATTAATGGCAGAGGCTGGGGCCTGCCCTGTCTGCTCATTTGGTTTCAACTTAAAATGGCACCCTTTTTTCTTTGAACTTTTCATCTGGACGTCATTTCAGACTTGCAGCAGCACTGCCCAGCATCCCACACGCCTTATAGAGATGCCCTCAGTGGTCACGTTCCCTTACCCTTTGGCTGCTGTCTATGCTTCTCCCCCTGCTCCCCTCTCTTTTCTTCCTCCCCCCACCCCCACCAAAGCCCGTGTCCCGACCACTCGGGTGGGGCAGGTCTAGAGCCCACAGATAGGAAGGAGTGAAAGGTGGGCAGGGTTCCTGTCTCCATGGGGACCAGGCTGAGGAGCCTCTTGTCCCTGGCACCCACCCTCTGCGACTCAGCGCCTGAGTATACCAGAATACAGTTCAGCCCCGGCCACTGGTACCACATGGGCCCTGCCTCAGTGCAGGTGGGCCGGACGGCGTCACAGGGCACCATGTGTGGCTGGCACTCCCCGGCCACTGGCACCATAGGTGGGCCCTGCCTCAGTGCAGGTGGGCCGGACGGCGTCACAGGGCACCATGTGTGGCTGGCACTCGGGGGCCCGGGCTCCCACCTCACAGGGATCATGGCCAGCTGGGTTCTCCAGCCTGTGTGGAGCCAGGTTCCAGGGACTCCCCGTGTTCTGGTCGGGGACAGTGGTGTCAGCTCTTGGGTGTCCGTGTCTGAACCTCCGCCCACAACCCCGGACATGAGAGTCAGGCTGAACAGTGTCCCATGTCCATAGGCAGAGCTCAGCCCTGGGCATGGGTGGCGTTTGTGGTGAGGTGGCATCAGGATCCTCGGGTTGCAGACTGGCTCAGGGTCCCCGAGGTTAGCCTCAGTGTTGTGAGCTGAACTGGCCACCAGGACCATGGCAGGAGCTGAGTGTGAGTCTCCTCAGGTTGCTGTAACAAAACCCCACAGGACTGGCTTTAAAAACTGGGAATTCCTCTCTCACGCTCTGGGCCCTGAGAGCCCCATCGCAGTCTGCCTCCTTGGTGCACCTGTGCTGCTTGTAGATGCGTCTGTCTTCCCCGTGTGTGACTGGTCTCCTTGCCCGCCCCTTTTGTGAGCCATGGGTCAGAGGGGACAGGACCCACCCTGCTCTGTGTGACACTGTTGATCACACTGTCAGAGGTAGACTCGGTTTCCAGACAAGGTCCCAGGCACAGGCACAGCGTCAGGACTTCAGAGCAGCTTTGTGGGGACAGTTGAGTCCGCAACACAAGCTTCGCGAGCTGCACACGGCACCTCGGCATCCCACCCTGTGCCCCTCGCTGGGCACCAGCCCCACGCACCCTGTCCTTCCAGGCACCTTCGTGATGAAGGCGGAGGCCACGGACGCTGACGACCCCGACACAGACAATGCGGCCCTGCGGTACTCCATCCTGGCGCAGGGTGGCCCTGGGTTCTTCAGCATCGATGAGCGCTCCGGCGAGGTCCGCACTGTGCAAGTGGGGCTGGACCGTGAGGTGAGCGCTGCACCCCGGGCCTCCTCGTGTGCCAAGTCAGTCTGCTTGTTTCGGGTGTCCCCGTGCCCAGCCTTGCCCACTGGTGCACACTCTCTGCTGTAGGTGAGGGCCGAATGCTGTCAAACTTGGGCAGGTGTGGGCTCTGGACCCAGACTCGGGTCAGGCCGCCCACACTGCCTCCTGCAGACATGCTCATGGTCTCCCTGAACCTCAGTTTCTCCTTGGTGACCAGGAGCAATGACCATACCGATCTCATGGATTGTGTGACATTAGGTCAAAACGGGGTGGAAGCCCTCAGTCTGCACCTGGCCCTGTAAGTGAATGGGTATCCTTCTCCTTGCCCATTGCTTACCCCAAAACTGCCTGGCTCTGTGCCTGTGTGCTACCTCCTCCAGGAAGCCCTCCTCGGTTTCCCCACAGCCTCTTGGCACTTCTTATTGTGTGCTGTATTTGTCGCTCTGCTGCTAACTCATGTTCCCAGGGCAGGAGCCCATCTGGTTGGGCCCTGCACACAATAGGTGCTCCTTAAATGTTTATCCAGCATACAGCTGAGCTAGCCTCCTCTGGATGGGCACAAGGTCATAGTTGGCCAGACATCTTTGTCCCCATGAGGCCACCAGCCAGTCTGCCCCTCTTAGATGCAGGATGATGCTTGGGCCCTGCACAGCTTTGTAGGGGCTCTCTGCACCTTGGCCTTGTCCTCTCACATTATCCACAGGCACTGTCATCCACAGGTGGTCGCCACGTACAACCTGAGTCTGCAGGTGGCGGACATGTCTGGGGACGGGCTCACAGCCACCGCCTCGGCCATCATCACCCTGGATGACATCAATGACAACGCGCCCGAGTTCATCAGGGACCAGGTGCCGCCGTGGCCCCTGCCTTGACTTGGGCTGCCCCTCCCTCTGCAGCTCCAGGCCGAGAGAAGGGAGGGCTCAGGGGTGGCAGCAGTGTCCAGGTGGACGATGTCCACATTGGAGATCCACACAGCCAGCGTGGACACAGAGCAGCAGAGAGATCTTTGGGGCCCTTGCAAACAGGGAGGGGGCAGCTGGTCTCTCTAGGCACTCACTGGGGGGTCAGAGAGTGGCCAGCTTTGCCCTCCAGGAGGATGCACAGGGACCAGTGGGGCACAGTGACCCCAAAATGGACAAACCAGAGAGGATATCGGGAGAGGCTCCAGGAGGCCTGCAGGTAGAGGAGCAGGTAGACGAGAGGACAGGGCAAGGGAGGCCCAGGTCCCCATGGGAGCCCCACCTGCAGCTGTTGTCCCACCTGCCCTGGCTGGTAATGGGTCGTGGCCTCCCCCAGTTTTCTCTAGAGGCCACAGAGGCGGTCAGCGGCATAGACGTAGGCCGGCTGGAGGTGCAGGACAGGGACCTGCCCGGCTCCCCCAACTGGGTGGCCAGGTTCACCATCCTGGAGGGTGACCCTGAGGGGCAGTTCACCATCCGCACAGACCCCAAGACCAACGAGGGCGTCCTGTCCGTGGTGAAGGTGAGTGGTTGCAGGTGCACCTGTCACCCCAGCCCCACGCAGATGGTCTTTGTGGGAATAGAGGGAGGAGTGGGGGTGTGGCCTCAGGACTAGGGGTGACCACAGGTCGACAGGGTTGGGGGTTGCTGCACAGGTCTGTGTGTGATGCACAGTGTACTTTCTATACGTGTGAAAAAATTCGGCCACGTGCCTGCAGATCCACCCTGCTACCACAGCTTTACATGAGCCTCTGTGTGTTTTTCGTGCAGTTTCCGTTCAATGTTCAGAAAGGGGCAGCCTTCGCGCCCCGCCCGGAGCCCCTGTGGCTCCCACGGCCACTGCGTCCCCTGTAAGCGGTGGGCACTGAGTCCTGAGTGCCCACCCACCTCTGCTGTGTCCCACAGCCCCTGGACCACGAGAGCCAGGAGCACTACAGGCTCCGTGTGTCGGTGCAGAACGAGGCCCCACTGCAAGCGGCGGTCCCCGAGGCCACCCAGGGCCAGGCCACGGTCAGTGTGTGGGTGCAGGATGTCAACGAGGCCCCGCTCTTCCAGGAGAACCCACTCCGAACCAGCCTGGCAGAGGGAGCACCTGCAGGGACCCCTGTGGCCACCTTCTCTGCCCATGACCCCGACACCCAGCAGCTACAGAAGCTCAGGTGGGAGCATCGGGCTCCTTGGGCTGCTGGTGCCTGGTGCCCAGGCCAGGAGCACTGGGACACTGAGCGTGTGCGGACACATGTGTACTCACCAGGGTCTGGGGTGTGTGCGCGTTTGTGCACACAGGGGTGAGTATATGCACTGGTGTGTGTGTGTGTTTTGGGGTGAGTGGTGAAGTCAGTATGTTGTGGTGCATGACCACATTCCTGGGGTCCCTAGCACAGGCTTGGGGCCACCCTGTCCCATTCCGTCTTTGCCAACAGCTACTCCAAGGACTATGACCCTGAGGACTGGCTGCAGATAGACCCCGCCACGGGCCAGATCCAGACCCAGCGTGTGCTCAGCCCTGCCTCCCCCTTCCTTAAGGACGGCTGGTACCGAGCCATCATCCTGGTGAGCGACGACGGTGAGTCCCAGCTGGGCTCTGGCGGGCAGTCTTGCCGTGTGCGGGGCGGGGCTGCGGGCTGAGTGAGCGAGCAGACGGATCCACCGGCCCTGCCCCTGCAGCTTCGCCGCCCTGCACCGCCACGGGCACCCTGTCTGTGGAGATCCTCGAGGTCAACGACCACGCACCGGTGCTAGCCCCAGCAGCCGGCAGCCTGTGCAGCGAGCCGGGGCGGGGCTCCGGCCTCCTCCTGGGGGCCACGGATGAGGACCTGCCCCCGCACGGGGCCCCCTTCCACTTCCAGCTGAGCCCTAGGACCCCAGAGCTTGCTCAGAACTGGACCGTCAGCCAGGTTAACGGTGAGGCCCCGCCGAGGGTGCGCAGAACGGCTCAGCCAGTGGGGAAGTGGAGGCCCAGGATCCTGAGCTCGCACCGGGGCGGAAGAGAGGGGCCGGAGGACCTGGGGGCTGGCTGACGACGGCCCCTTCCCCAGTGAGCCACGCACGCCTGCGGCTGCGCCACCGGCTCCCCGAGGGCTTGCACCGTGTCAGCCTGCTGCTCCGCGACTCGGGACAGCCGCCGCAGCAGCGGGAGCAGCCGCTGAACGTAAGCGTGTGCCGCTGCGCCGCGGACGGCGCCTGCCTGCCCGGGGCCAGGGCTCTGCGTGTGGGAGGCGCGGGAGTCAGCCTGGGCGCACTGCTCGTGGTGCTGGGCAGCTCCACCCTGCTGCTCCGTGAGTGCTGAGGCCACCCTCTGCGCGCGCCGCCCTCCCCCCCCCCCCCCCCCCGCAGCCCCACGCCACCTTAGGCATCCCCACCCGGCCCTCCGCATCCCCAGACCGCGAACATTCCTGTCCCCGAGCCCGACTTTCCCCTGCACCCTGAACACTCACCCACCATGTTCCTAGAAAACCGGTATTTCCAGATCCATTCTCCTCAGCTCCCCACACCCCTCCAGGGCCCAGATGTGTCCCCGGCCCAACACCCTGCACCCCTGGGCCCTCCCTATAGACTGCCCTGCCCCAGGGCAATGCACCCCTCGATGCCCCGGACCCCCGACAGCCCCTGGTGGCCCCAGGCATCCCCCGGAAGTCCCCCTCCCGGGCTGCCCCCACAGCCCCGACTTGTTCCGCATCTCCCCGTGCTGTCGCGCCCAGTGCTCATCCTGCTGGTGACCCTCCTGGCACGATGCCGGCGGCGGCCGCGGGATGAGGGGCTGCTGCACGGGTTCCAGGATGACCTACGTGACAACATTCTCAACTACGACGAGCAGGGAGGTGGGGAAGAGGACCAGGTGAGGACTGCTGGTGTGGGAGGGAGGAGCTCCAGGTGAGGGCGGAGGGCTGATGGTTGGGAGGGAGGAGGTCCAGGTGAAGGCCAAGGGCTGATGGTTGGGAGGGAGGAGCTCCAGGTGAGGGACTGAGGGCTGACGGTGTGGGAGGGAGGAGGTCCAGGTGAGGGCGGAGGGCTGATGGTGTGGCTGGGAGGAGGGGAAGGCCAGAGCAGGACTGTGTGGTTTGGACTTAGATGGGGGCAGGGGCTGTCTCAGGAAGCACCCCAGCTGACATGGCAGGAGCGAACGCTGGCCCTGGAGCCTCTGGCCTTGGCAGCTTTCAGGGCCCTCTGAACAGTTCCTCCCCCGGCAGGGCCCTCCCAGGAGCGCGTGGGCCGAAACGCCCTCTGCGCCCAGGGCTCAGTTGTACTCTCCACCCGGCACAGGACGCCTACGATCTCAGCCAGCTGCGCCACCCCACGGAGCTGGCGGCTCTGGGCGGGCCTCTGGGGCAGCAGCCGCTGCGCCGCGACGCCGCCTTCGGCCTCCAGCCCGGCCCACCGGTCCGCCTGCCGCCCGCCGGCCCCGCTGACCTCGCCAGCTTTATTCGCGACGTAGGTACTCGGGGGCGGGCGGGAGGGCGCACGCAGCCCCGGGCGCCCCCTGCGCCCTGGCGGGTGGACGTGGGCGCGCACGGGGGGCAGGCCGAGCAGGGTCGGCCGCCAGGGGGACGCAGTGAGGGGGCGCCAGGTGCAGCTCTGGGCCCCGGAGGGCGTCCTTTCCCGCGCCGGCAGGGGCGTGGCCGGCGGCGCCCGCGCGCTCCCGCGGGTCCTTGCGGAGAGAGGCGGTGCCTAGCGCCGCCCTAGAGCCTCGTGAGGTTACACAGGAGTGGCACCCGCTTCGCGCCCCACACAGCCCCCGGGTGCGCCTCTCCTCAGCGCAGGGAGAAGGCGCTCCAGGAACTGCCTAATGACTGACTTCTGGGGCTCACGCAGGTGACTGGAGCCTGGTTCAGGGAACGGCCCGACCCTGCAGACCGCACTGCCAGGGACAGGCATGCTGTCCCTGTGCAGAGGGTGTGCCCGCGGGACAGGCACAGGTGGAGATGGCTGGAGGGGCAGGGCAGTAGGTCTCAGCCCTAGAGGGACCCGCCTCAGATCCGTGTCCTAAGAGGCTCCAAACAGTGACCCTCATCGTTCTCACTAGGGACCCTGTAAGCCGCTCATGGCCATCAGCTGCTATCCCTCCCCCTCTCCCCATCGAGGCTAGGAAGCCAGCTAAGGGCAGCCAGGCAGACCTTGAGAAAGGCCCAGTGTCCTTGGCTGAGTAGTACTGCTGGAGAGGTGGGTGTCTCAAGGTATGTCAGTGGCCCTGAGTCTCCACCGGACCTCTGCAGGGCTTGGAGGCTGCAGATGGTGACCCCAGCGTGCCACCCTATGACACGGCCCTCATCTACGACTACGAGGGGGACGGCTCCGTGGCAGGGACGCTGAGCTCCGTCCTGTCCAGCCTGGGGGATGAGGACCAGCAGTATGACTACCTCCGGGACTGGGGCCCCCGCTTCGCCCGGCTGGCAGACATGTACGGCCACCCGTGATGCCGCCCACGTGGCCGTCTGTTGGAGCAGGCTGGGGTCTCACGGCCACAGCCCCCCCGAGCCGGTAAAGGTGCTTCCTCCTGTGTGCACCAGGTCTGGAGACACAGGGCTGTGTGATGGGGCCAGTGGGACACCCACCCCATCAGGTGGGTGGCTGCAGGGCGCTGGGCTCTCCGGGGGGATTCTGGATACCAGAAGCAAGGAAACGTCAGCCAGAGGCAGAATCCCCACTGTCCCCCTACCTCGTGGGGGGAAAGCAGTGACTTGGGGTTGGCACAGCCCTGCTCCCACACTTGCCTCTGCCTGCGTGAACCCCATCTCTGTATGAAAGCAGTCCCTGTGGCGGATCTGAATTAAAAGGTGCTTGTCTCTCCAGCGTTAAGGGGCTCTGGTGGTGCAGTGCCTAAGACATTTTACTGCTACCCAGACGGTTGGTGGTTCAAACCCACCAGTCACTCTGCGGAAAGAAGACTGGGCAGTCTACTTCCATAAAGATTTATCACCTTGGAAACCCAATGGGGGTCACTGTGAGTTGGCCTTGACAATGGCAGTGAATTTGGTTTAGTTTCATCTCTCCAGTGTGGGCCTGGTGCCAGACCCCCAATGACTTCCAGGAGTGACACGGCCCAGCCCTGGGACGGGGTTTCAGCGAATCCAGGGCTGCCCAGAGCCTCGCACACACCCCTCCCCCCACCTTGCCAGGCAGCCAGGGCTGGAGCAGCGGGTGTCTCAGGCTGCTTGGCCCCTGGGGGGGGGGAGCCAAAGTAGGGAGGTGGCCCTGGGGCTCAGTACAGGTGAAGCCCCTGCAGCCCAGGGAAGGGCCAGGGCACCAAGTACAAGGTCAGCTTTATCTTCCACACCTGATAGGTACGGCTCAGGGAGGAGACTCGGGCCACTGGCTAGGGTCCCCGGAGCAAGGGGCCTGGGGGGGATACCTCCACACCATCCCTCTGGTTCCTCCAGAATAGACACATGGGCCTTCGAAGTAGAACGTGTCTGTCACCCTTCCAGACTAGCACCTGGGCGCTGTATGGTGCCCGGGGTCCTGGCTGCCATCCCCACCTCCTGGCTTGAGGGAGCACCCCAGGTAGGAGTAGGGCATCTGGGGGGTGTGCCTGCTTAATGCAGGCAGGAGGGCTGCAGCAGGGGCAAGTGGTCCTGGTGGCAGGGGTAGCGGCCCCGGAAGAGCGGGCTCCGGCGAAGGTGCTCCGCGTCCTGCAGGCTCTGGGGCAGCCTGCGGCCTCGGCTCTCGGGCAGCAGTAGGATGCAGAGCAGGCCGAGAACAGCAAAGGAGGCGAAGAGGACATCCTGGAGGAAGGAGCTGTGCCGGGCGTGCACGTCGGCCAGGGGGGCGGCCACCTGGCCCAGGAACCCGGCGCCCAGCACCAGGCCCAGCCCGGCCCCTCTGTGGAAGAGAGCTCGGTGGGAGGCCAGCCGGACACGGGGGGACACGTGACTCCCAGTGTCTGCGGAGCATGGGGAGAGGCCGGCCCTTAGCAGAGCTGACGCTGGGGTGTCTCAAGAGAAAATGAGCTGTTTGCTACCTTGGAACGGTTTTTGTTCTTTATGTTAGAAAAGAGGAAAATGAACTTGCTCTGAAATCTTCGACCCCGACCAGTGCCCCTGTGCCCCAGAGGAACTTGGCCTCAAGACTTGAATGGCAGAACCTCAGGGGTGTTGGGGGCCAAGGGCGATGGTGGTGGGTGGGACAACAGGGGTCCTGGTGTAAGTGCAGGGGGAGGTCAGAGGCTGGGCCTCACCTGATGGCCGTGGGGAAGACCTCAGCGGCAAAGAGGCTGCTCAGTGTGGACATGGCCTGGGAGGCCAGGAGTCCCAGCACAGAGAGTGACAGCTGGGTCCAGCGCGGAAGATCTGCAGAGGAGGGAAGGGATCCCATGCTGTCCGCAGAGGTCTCCCTTTGCGGGACCTGGCCGGGGGCAGCACCGTGGCAAGGGCACCTCTGGTGTCACCCAGGGCCAGCCTCGGTGTATGATGTGGTCCCCACGCCCAGCTAGTGCCCTGCTGTCGCTGCACTGGAGGCTTGAGCACTTCGGAGCGCTGGCCCTGGCTGCCTGGCGTGCTGCCCGGCGTGCCCCTTCCTGCTGTCCTGCCACATGTTACCACACCCTCTCAAGGTTCTCTGTCCCTGCCAATCCCAGAGGTTCTGTTGGGCAAGGCTGGCCTGCTGTGTGCTCTGTGGGACATACCCCTATAGTCTGTAATCTAGTCTTGGCTGCGGGATGGGAGCAGCGTTCACCTGTCGTAACCCCCACACACGCACACCCACACCTGACGCCTGACCTGTCACACTTGCTGCCAAGGTTTCTGCCGCACCGTGTGCTGCGGAGGGAGCCCCGGCCACACCGGGTCCCTGTACTTTACCCCCAGTAGGCTGTTCTTGGTCCCTGTGCTTAGGGCTCAGTTGTCCTGAGTGTATGAGCAGGGGGTGCCAAGACACATGCCTGGCTGGCACGAGCCCCCTGTGCTGGGTGCCCCGGGCAGCCCAGCATCCCGGGTGTGGGTGGTGGCCAGCCGCACCTGCACTGGCAGCGCCCGCCCAGCCCGAGGCTCACGCTGGGTCCCAGCGAGGAGCAGCAGGGATGCCAGGCTGGTGGTGAGGGTGGCCAGCAGCAGGGCGGGGCGGCGTCCCCAGCGATCCGCAGTCAGCAGCAGTAGGACCGTGGCTGACGCATCCAGGCTGGCCGTCAGGAAGTAGGACGAGTAGAAGGCTGGCTCCTGGGGGGCTAGGCCACGGAGGAAGCTGGCGCGGATGCCACCGCTGATCATCCTGGAGGGGGAGTGGAGCTGTGTGCCCAGCCAGACCCCAGGGGTTTGGGGACCATGGTCCTGTCCCTTGCCCTGAGCCAAGGGTGCAGACCCCCTCACCCGCCCTCGCCCTGCCTCCTCACGAAGTGAAGCCCAGGATGAGGCCGTTTCTCCAGGTGACCTGGGTGTGCAAGAGCTCGAGGACCCAGTGGTACTGGGGCTGGGGGCTCCCCGCAGACAGCAGGTCCAGCTCTGTGCCGTGGGAACATGGGGAGGGCCGGCCTTGAGGATAGGCCCCTGCCCGGGGGGTGCCAAGTCCCCTCCCTCCTCAGGCTCTAGGCTTCCCTCCCTTGGCCGGCTCCATACCTATAGCCAGGGAGTTTTCCTCCTCCAAGGAGCTGTCTTCAGGATCCAGGCCACTGGCCTTGGCAAAATACCACAGGATCTGCCTGGCTCGGCCCAGCTGCCCTGTGGCCAGCAGCCAGCGGGGGGACTCAGGGAACAGGGCTGGGAACCTGCAAGGAGAGGGGAGTGGCCGTGGCCCTGGCCCCCAAGCTGCTTCCTCTTCCCTTCCTCAACTCCTCCCCACAGTGGGGCTGAGGCCAGGACCCACCCTGGGCTGAGTGGAACCTCAGCAGGGCTTTCTACGACCCTTACTTACAGCCACAAGGCCAGCATGGAACACAAGGGCCGACTTTGCCGGCTCCCACCACACTTACCCCCAAAAGAGCAGCACAGTGCTGGTTACCAGGGCGCCCAGCCCCTGTAGCAGGCGCCAGTCCTGAGCGAGCACGGCCAGGCCCGGCAGCAGCAGGGTGCCCATCACTGAGAAGAGGCTGGCACCCCCAGAGAAGAGCAGGCGGTGTGGGGGGTCACACAGCTCCAGGCCTGAGACAAAGCACTGAGATTGAGCCCTTCGGGAGAGCTCTGTCTAGGGCTGGAGGGGGTCCCCCTTCCTCTGGGAGGTGGACGCCCGCCCAATGGCTAGCTACCTACCTGGCCCAGCAAACTCAGGCCTGCAGGGCACCATGCCCGTACCCTGACTTCTGCTTGGGAAGGGCCCTTCCCCATGGACTGCTTCCCATACTCACGTGCTACATAGAGGGCTAAGGAGACCCCTGCCAGGGTCCCCGCATGGAGTAGTTGCAGGGCCAGAAGGGCAGGGAAGCTGGTGGCCAGGGCCTCACCGGCACCTAGGACCGTGGCTAGCACCAGCGAGCCTATAAACACAGCCCGGCGGCCAAACCTGGGGGCAGTGGGGACACAGGTAGACATGGTCGGGATGGTCCAAAGGGTTCCCCTTCCTCCATCGCAGGGTCAAGCTGGACCCCGATGGCTACCACCCTGAGAGGAGGGACACCGGCTCACCGGTCACAGCCTGTGCCCAGGACGATGGACCCCAGCAGCCAGCCCAGCAGGTAGCCTGTCTGCTCCAGAGGTACTTTCCAGCTGTCCTCACATACGAGGTCCCACTGCAGGGAACACAGGCCACCTGTCACCTGCTGGCCAGCTAGGTCCTTCTAAGGACCAGGACCCTCCCCTCCTTCCTGTGCTGGGGACAGAGCAATGCAAGGAGGCCCAGAATGTCAGGCTGGAAGGGAGCCTGATGCCCTGTTCCAGCTGCTCCCTGGAAAGGGAAACCAAGTCATGGAGCAGGGGAGAGACCTGGTCAAGGTCAGTCGGCAGGGTCGCCTGACTCCGGTGGTCTGAGGCACCCAGGAGTCCTGCAAGCAGTCTCAGGACTGGTCAGGGAGAGTGGGGTCCTCCCTCCCCATGGTGGGGTCTTTACCAGGACTTCATCCCTCCAGCCACCTCCCCCCCAACAGCTGGTCCTGGTCTTACTCCCACCTGCTGGTACAGGGAACCCAGGGACAGACCTGCTTTGAGACAGGCGTCAGAAATGAGCCTCGCCCCTGCCCACTGGGCCCCCGGGCCCCACACTTCCTGGGTCCCTGTGCCCCGCCTGCTAGTTTCAAGAGGATCCTTAACTGACTGGAGGGTGTGCTCAAGTGTTTCTCCCAGGCACGGACCCTTGACCTTCTCGATCCTTCCACCTCCCCTCTTCTGAGTTCCTGTCTCTTCTCACCAAGTCCCACGGACTGTATTTGGTTTGCTGTTAGAATTTTTATCTTAATATGAGATCATTTCTGAAGGCAGTAGGACATCGGTCAGGCTGACCAGGCGGGAGGCAGGGTTAGGGTGGCATAGGGGACCAGGGCCAGGGCCCCAGGCAGGCACCTGGACAAGATGGGGCAACCGGTTCCAGTTAGCACACCAAGGGCGATGCTCACAAGGGTGCAGGTGAGGGGTGAGAGCTGTCAAAGGGAACAGGCAGGGTAGGCAGGAAGGGGGGCGTGGAGTCCACAGCTGCTTTCTCCCGGCCAGTTCTCAAAAGCTGCTTCCCCTTCCCCACACCTCCCAGATGCAGGGTCTACCTTTCTTCACCTTGAACTGACCTCACGCTCCCTGGTTCAATGTCTCCTGCGTTGGGACATTGCCTCCCACGCTGCACAGGGGCTCCATGCCGGGACCCTGGCAGGGGTCTCCTTAGCCCTCTATGTAGCACGTGAGTATGGGAAGCAGTCCATGGGGAAGGGCCCTTCTCAAGGAGAAGTCAGGGTACGTTGGGAGTGGAGTCCAGACACTCGTGCTCGCAGCCCAAAGCCACAGGCATTGCTCAACACGTTTGTAATCGAATTCCAGGCACCACCGCAGGACTGCACCCACCTGCTCCTAGAACAGGCCTCTCCTAGGCATCCTTGCCTCTGGCTCTGCCAGTAGGCCTGTCACATCGACCACCTAGTCCTCAAAACCCTTGAAACTCTTCAGAGATTTGGCTCACAGGGCTGGAAGCCCTTCCTCTGCCCTGGGCACTTGGGCACCTGTTCAAGTTAATGTCGAGAGGAGCCGGATGCCCCATTCCCCAGCCGTCAGCCCAGTAGGAACGACACCCCAAAGATCCCCACCAGACCAAGGGTAGAAAAGCGGGGGCGGCAGAAGGACCGGGCGCTCGGCCCCCAGCTCAGCCTCTGTCCTCCCCACTGCGTCCCCACCCCCGGCCCTCTAGGGGGCGGCGAGCGCACCTGGGTGACCGGGTTACGCAGCAAGCCGGCGGCAGGCAGTGCGTACTCCCAGCCGCGTGTGCAGGGCCGCGTGCTGTTTGGCGCGGGCGCCGCTCTCATGACGCCGCGCTCGGGGTAGCGCAACAGCAGGCAGGGGCTCCAGGCGCGCGCGGCTCCAACGCGCGGCACGCTGGCCCGGAGCAGCGCAGGCCCGTCCAAGGCGCGCAGCGCGGGAGGCAGTAACTCCGGGTCCGGTCGGCAGTGGTGCGCCGGCCGCGCCCTAAGAAGTGGCTCCGAGCTCAGCACCAGCCCCAGTGCCACACCGGGCAACCACGAGGCGGCGGCCAGCAGGCGACGGGCCCGCCCGAAGCCGCCCGCAGCGCGCAGCGCAGGTACCTCCTGCTCCATCCCGCGCCGGTTCCGCGCTCCGGCCGCTCAAGGCCTCCGGCGGAAGGCGGGGAGGCGCGAGGAGATGCACCTGTGAGGGGGCGGGGCTATGGTACAGGCGTGGCCTGGGGGCGGGGCTTCGGAGCAGGCTCCACAGAAGGCGCAGAGGCGAAGGCGTTGTGGCTGGGGCGGAGCTCAGGGGGCCCGGGAGGGGCGGGACCACAAGCGGAGTGGGCGGGGCCTCAGAAGGCCCGTGGCGGTCGGGCTGTACGCGGCCCTCAGGCGTCTTCCGCCGACAGCGGCTGTGTCCGCCGAGCTCCGAGGGACGGTGGGCAGGCCGCCCTTACCCGCAGGCCAGGTACGTACCACCCCCCCCCCCCGGCCCCGACCCTCTTCTCCAGCCAGTCGCCCTTAAAAGGCCTGAGGCCGGGTCCTGCCGCCCCCGCCCCGCGGTCAAGGCGTCCAGGCCCGCGGAGGGGTCGCGGCCTCCCCTCAGGTGCGAGTGGGAAGTTGGTGGGCGGGGAGCGCGGGCGAGCGGGGGACGCGGCCCAGGACAACCTGCGACAGTCAGCGACGTCCCACGACGACCCGGAGCACCCCGCACAATCCCCGACGCCAGCGACAACCCGCGCCGCCCGG